TTTCCTGATGAAAGAAGAGAGTCTACTCTTTCTTTTGGTGTGTTCGGTGTTTACATAGTCATAGCACAAACTATTCTGTGGCTCTTGAAAAATCAGTCAAAATGCTCAAAAAACTCTGGCAGTATGGGACTCTGTTCTGAAAATGGCTGGCAGTCAATGAGTTAAAGGGGAACGTAACAGAGGCTTCAGGCTTAAGGTGGACTTCCTCTGAAGCACCAAGCCTTTTAGTTTGTGCTTCTTCCCAGTCCGTAACACTGGCTTAAGAGCAGGTTTCTACATGGACTTCACAGCTTTCAAGTGGCCTGACATTCTTATTTTTCCTGGCAGGAGGAAGCTGGAGTGGACTTACGAATGTTGAAATGAAGTCAGGCCTCTAAGGAGCTCGTGGAATGAAATCTAGCAACTCGACGTCATGATAGAACGTGAAATATTAAGCTTTTCCTTTTTCCTTGTCAGGCTGAAACCCTCCGATGTCCTAAAAGTCTCTACCCTCGGCTTTAAATATTTATGAAAAGGTTGGAGGGGAAGTTGAAAGGTGCTTATCCCCATAAAACCAACCATCCCTTCAAAGATCACTGGTGTGAGACTCCACCTTAAATTTTTTAGTGGGATGGAAGAGAATCACGATTACAAATAAAGGCTATTCCACCTCTTTAGATTCACTGGACACATTTTCCAAAATATCTAAAACAACTGACCTGAGTTATAAGTCAAACTTAGATGTAATTTGATGGTTTGATGAGGTGCTGCTAGCTTGCTGTTTTATGTATATTTTGTTCCTTAAATGTGTTTGTGACAGTTTCCTTTAAAATATCAATCCCTAAAATAGTAATGAAAGTGATGCTACGGTCAAGTGTGCAACATCCCCCTTAATTGTGGTACAGGACTGTCTCAGAAAATTAGAATATTGTGATAAAGTTCTTTATTTTCTGTAATGCAATTAAAAAACATGAAACGTCATACATTCTGGATTCATTACAAATCAACTGAAATATCACAAGCCTTTTATTATTTTGATATCGCTGATTATGGCTCACAGCTTAAGAAACCCAAATATCCTATCTCAAAATATTAGAATATCGGATTTTTTATTTTTCTTCAGCTGTACGCCATAATCAGCGATATTAAAACAATAAAATGCTTTCGATATTTCAGTTGATTTGTAATGAATCCAGAATGTATGACATTTCATGATTTTTAATTGCACGACAGAAAATAAAGAACTTTATCACAATATTCTAATTTTCTGAGACAGTCCTGTATATTACTTAGTTTTGAAGACCATAAAAGAAGAAAAACTCTGCTTATGTAGAGACAGGAACGGGGACCAATCGGGTGCTAGCGCCGTGCTAATTGCTGCAGAGCGTCGACCTGCCCCAAATCCCCGGTAAGAGTCGCCCGGCAGCAGATGGAAGAATCAAAGGCCACATTACCCACACATATGCACACAGAAACCCAGCCAGCTCTACATTATTTACAACCGCCCAGTAGACAGACGTCCATGTGGTTTCACCAGCTTATCCATCACTAGGAGGGTTCTTAGCTGTAATTTCCACATTTTCAGTAGCCCAAAAGGGCAATTGCATTGATAATACTTTGAGAGGGATATATTTTTTCACTTTTAAAAAGGAGAAAGAGCACAAAATAGTCTAAAAAGCACCATGTAAACTTGCCCGTTTACTCCTTCCCCCCCCCCCACAAGTCTGCTGCATTGAAGTGATTTGAATTTAACCTTTTAAAGCCTGATCCAAGAAAAATAGGAAGAATATTGGATTTTTTTTTGTCTGAAGTCTTTCTTTGGCCCCTCAATAACATATGAAGAAAAAAAAACAGGAATTATTTTGATCAAATTAGCGTGCAATAAGTCAAAAATGTATTTCGGTGTAGTCTTCTACTGGCTGTTATCAGGTATATCTGAAAATATAGTAATATAGTAATATCTGTAAAATAGGAAGAATATTGGATTTTTTTAGTCTGAATCTTTCTTTGGCCCCTCAACAACATACGAAGAAAAAAAAAAAGAAATTATGTTGATAAAATTAGCGTGCAATAAGTCAAAAATATATGTTGGTGTAGTCTTCTACTGGCTGTTATCAGGTATATCTGAATGTGTACAACAGGGGTTTGAGCAAAGCTTTTACCACTGAATGATGCAGAAAGTCTCAGATCCAAAAGACTTCAGAAACCGGATCAGATATGAAACATTTGGCATTATAGGGTTAAAACGGAGTTGTTTCTGGCATGAATAGTGCAGAGAGAAGCCTCGGCTATGGGGAGAGTATGGCTCTTCCTCCGTAAAGCTGCAGACGTACACGTCTTGTGACAGGCCTGGCTCAGGGATGTGACGGGGTGTCGGGTTTGTTTTTTTGGATGAGTGCTCTGGCTATGTGGTGGGGCTAACAGGCAGGGGGGGGGGGAGAGGGGGGGTTCTGCTTTATGCGAGGGAAGGTACTTGAGATGGAGAAGAGGAATGAAGATGTGATGAAGAACAGAGTGAGTACCGGAGAGATAAAACATACGGATTAACAAAATATAGATCCGAAGCACAGATGTGTTCCAGAAAAAGGCTCCAGGCTTATCGGGAAAATGCTCCACTCAGGCTGTACGGTACAACTGTGTGGTTGTACGATGGAGGACATGGATATAAGTTAACTTTTGAATAAGGTTTTTCCCTAAAATGTCAGTGTAATAGTAAGAAAAGAAGATACAGATGCACAGAGAGAATCTAAATCAATGCAAATGCAAAGTCTGAGGAGATTTCTATAACAGAGGTCCCTCTGGTTCACTCAACTCTCTTAGTTTTAGGGAACTATTTGGTTCTATGGTACCTTAATGCGAACAGGGTCACATTTCATTAAGTTTAACAACCCCAGGATGGTTTTTTTTAATCTTTTTCAAAGATTGATTCAGAATCCTGACCCGATTTGAATTTATTTTATATTTTCTACGCCTTGTTGTTGTATTTTTTTATTTTTTGTTTGCTTTGCATGTAAATTCTTTATTATCATGCAAACTTATTGGAAAAAGTGAGAAAGGAAGTAGAATAAAATGCAGCTTAAAGGACAGCTGGGGGCATAAATTGAGGGGGATTTTCAATTTTTAAGAAAAATATTTTAACATAAATAAACCAGAAACATAAGAATACTAATCAATCCAAAATGTTCAGCTTATTTACAGTGGGGGAAATAAGTATTTGACCCCTTGTTGATTTTGCAGGTTTGCCCACTTACAAAAAATGCAACGATCTATAACTTTAATCATATGTACATTCTAACAGTGAAAGGCAGAATCCCAAAGAAAATTCCAGAAAATCACATCATATGAATTTATAAAAAATGTATAACCATCTGATGAGGAAAAATAAGCATTCTTTGTAAGTGGGCAAACCTGCAAAATCAGCAAGGGGTCAAATACTTATTTCCCCCACTGTATGATGACCGTTTTTCCCAGACTCACCACATCGATGATCTGCAGCAAAGTGAGTCCCAGTTCCACCAAAATGGGGGCGGAGTCGTTCTGGACTGGTCTCTCCAGACGGTTGTAGTTCTCCAGCAGGTCGTGGTAAAGTTTCCTCTGGTAAACGCCACCACGGCATCCTACACGGAGCAGATTAGCAAAATTAGCAAAAGCAAATGTTGGAAGTTCTCAACAGGACGGCGAGAAGAAGCTTATCCATCATGTCTCGAGCCCAAAGACGGTTCTTAGCTGTAATTTCCACATTTTTAGCCGCCCAAAAGGGCAATTACATTGATAATACTTTGAGAGGGATATATTTTTTAACTTTTAAAAGGAGAAAGAGCACAAAATAGTCTAAGAAGCACCATGTTTTCTCTTTGGAGACAAACTTGCCTTTTACTCTCCCCCCAGTCTGCTGCATTGAAGTGATTTGAATTTAACCCTTTAAAGCCTGATCCAAGAAAAATAGGAAGAATATTGGATTTTTTTAGTCTGAAGTCTTTCTTTGGCCCCTCAGCAACATATGTAGACAAAAAAACAGGAATAATTTTGATCAAATTAGCGTACAATAAGTCAAAAATATATTTTGGTGTAGTCTTCTACTGGCTGTTATCAGGTGTATCTGAAAATATAGTAATATAGTAATATATGAAAAAAAGGAAGAATATTGGATTCCTACACGGAGCAGATTAGCCAAATTAGCAAAAAGCAAATGTTGGAAGTTCTCAACAGGACGGCGAAAAGAAGAGGAGGAAATATCAAGTCAAGTCAAATTTTATTTATAGAGCACTTTTAAAATAACCAAAGTTGCCAAAGGGCTTTTCCACGTAAAAATAAACATAAAAAGCGAACATAATTTACATACATATATGTGATTTTAATGTAAAAAAAGAGGTAAAAAGGTAAAAAAATATATATATATGGTCCAGTTTTAAAAAAACGAAGGATAGAAGTGGTCAGGAAACTCTTAAAAACCTGCTAACAAAAAGAAATGAGATATACTGAGAGGAAGTGGAAGAGATTGGCAGAATTACTCTAATCAGTGTGCATCTCTAACCAAATTTAAATTCTATTGGCTCTAATCTAATCTTTGTTTTTGTCGCGTCTAATGATTGACGCCTCAAATTCCTCAATAAATTCTGATTAAGACACAATACGCTGAACATAACGAGTGCAATATTAACTCCCTGAGCTTTAATTTGTTGACTGAGTGTTCATTTAGTCTCCTTTGTTTTCATCTGGCCTCATCTAGAGGTTTGCTACCCAACAGCTCTTCTCCATCTTTAATTGGAGGGAATATTATACTGCGGTCCCTCCTGGAAAAGCAAAAGGAGGCACCATGCCCCCGGCATTGTTCCTCTTTTACAAATGCAGCGGTTAGCACAACGTA